CCTTCAGTTCATTATTCCTCTTTGCTTTTCTTATCTCAGTCTTAACCCTACAGGCCAAGACCTTATAATAATCTCCAAGGTAAATTTCACCACAATTTATTTTCCTTCCTTTTGCCTTCCTTTGTCCAACAATATTCTTTAAATAATTATTTATCCATTTGGGGTCATTGTTGTTTGATCTGGGTTTTCTGTATGGTATGTTCTTTCTTTGTGCATTAAGGAACTCATTATTTAAATTGCTGTGGAACTCGTCAACCTCAGACCTCTTGATCGGGTCATCCTCAACCGTCATATTTTGAGGTTATCGTTGTCAGGTCTCTAGGTAAAGTGAGGTCTCTCTCTGTGGGTACATTGCATGGGGTCACCTCACGTGAGGTCATGTAATCCACCCCCAAACGTGATACCCCTTCTTTCAGCTGCCTTTTCAACCTATCAAACTTTGCCCTTCTGAAATCTGGGACTTTAATGGAATTTTCCTTGCGACTGCCATTAAATTCTAATTTGAATTGTAGTTCTTTGTGATCGCTGTTTGCAAGTTCGTTCCCTACCTCGACATTACTAATGAGATTTTCTCTGTTTGACAGAACTAAATTGAGTACAGGGGGTATATTATTACCCAGGGTGGGTTTGGCTATATGTTGATGCAAGAAACAGTCTTGAACTTTTTCAAGAAAATCCTCTGATTCCGAGTTACCCATAAGGTCGATCCAATCTATTTGGCTAAAGTTAAAGTTGCCTACTATACAGACTTTGCTATGTCTGGAAGCCCTGCGCATTTCATCCCAAATAATTCGCTCATTAACTCTTATGAAGATTAAGTGGTCTATATATTACTCCTGTGATTAATTTTTCCATGCGCTGGCTCCTGACTGTATATCTGAACCTACTCCAGTGTTGGTCAAGTCTTGTCTTCAAAGAATTCATACTCGGTGTCCTCACAACACTGGCAGATTGTTCCGAGAGTTTACAATTCTCACTTCGAAAAAGTTTGCCCTCACAGTTTTCTGGACTTGTTGTTCACTGTGACCTCTAGTGGGGCGAGTTTCCGCCAGCTCCAGGTACAGACGCTTGACTTAATAGTGCCCTCTGAGATGTTTATGAACTTCAATTAGGTCAACCCTTGCCCGTCTATCATATAAGCTAGGCAGTTACAGGTGTTCTACTCTTTTTGAGTAACTGAGGTGCCATATTGCAGGTACTAGTCTGGTGGCCTTCCTTTGGATATTTTTAATCAACTGACAGTTTTTAGCATATTTCAGCAACTAGTTTATAGCATGTTTCAGCAACCAGACATGGTGACAGTGCTTCAGACGGGGGAGCACTTCACTCTTGAAGATCGTTACGAGGGACAGACCATCTAGATATCTGAATGACCTTCTTATAAGGCCTACTAACAGTAGTTTAGTTGCTTGATTAACCTTCTCCTCACAATGGATCAAGAACTTCAGCTTGTTGTCAACATATGCACCCAGGTACTTTTCACATTCAGTCTCTATTAATATAGTTTCTTCCTCCCATTAGGACATGGGATATGCCTCCTTACTGTTGGTACAACCTAGGTGCATCCTTTTACACTTGGTGACGTGAAATCTTAGCAGCCATTTCGTGGACCACTCTTGAAGCCAACAGAGATTTTTCTGTAGCTCTTCACAGTCCTTTTGGTTCTTAATTTTCCTGAATAATGGGTTGGTACTCGGAACGGCATCGAACTGTAAAACTTGCTTTTTTTTATCTGATGGCAACTGGGACACAATACCATCAGGTTAATCATGAATCCATGTACAGTGTGTGAAAAATGTCTGTAAAATGGTGATGGTGATGACTGACCGCTTTGATGCAGGTACCATTGGGTTATTAATTTTTTTGTTAAGTAGGAATAATTATGTAATGTAATATGATCACATTAAATGTAAAATTAAGTGTAATTCAACTGTTATGCATTTCATAATTTGTAAATTTGTTTAGTTTTATTGTTTGTCCAAGTAGAAAGTCCAAGTTTAAGATGATAGCCTGAGATTTTACCATATAATGATTGAACCTGAAATCTATTTTGTAGTCAGAAATTGGTGAGCATAAAAGCATTAAAAATTGGTGAGAAAATTTTACAGTGATATTTCTGTTAGCCACGACAATTGGTGCAGAACACTTCCGGGAATGAGAGATTTTCGGGTAATGAGACGACTTTTTCAAAGCCGGAAAAAATTCCTCATCCCCAGAATTTTCTGGGTAACAGAAAAATGTTCTCTGAGATTCCAGAAATTGCACATTACATGATCTCTCTAGCCCGGAAAAGCTTCCCCATCCCCGGAATTTTCCGGGTATTGGGAAAATTTTCTCTGAATTTTCCGGAAAATGTGTCCCTCGGAAAATCATTACCAAAGCCGTAATTTTCCAGAAAATCCTGCCTTTAGGAACGATTTTCTGAGAAAATTCCAGTTCCGGCTATCGGAGAGCTCCGGGTTTGGGGGATTCTGGTTAATGGAGATATTACTTATATCCTTAGGAATTAATCACTAATATAGTTTTCTCTTATCTGGTGAAATGGAAAATGGTATTGTGATCTTTGTGCTTTGGATGAAGAGAAAGTGTGTCCCATAAGGGCAGATACTTAGACTTGGCCTTGTTTGGGTACATGAGGATGCAGTGTGGCCAGCACAGCATTTGACTGCCATTACTTTTTCCAACTGTAAAGTTAGGTATCCATTCACAGCTGGGTGAACTGGGGGTGCCAGGGGGTGAACCAAGAATCCTTAGGACAGAAAGTAAGTGATGAATCAACTTGACTGCCTTACCCATGGTTTTTGAATGGCAATGTCCAGATCATTTGTAAATATTTTTCTTTATAGAATTTGCAGATTCAGATCCAGTATATTTTACAAAGATGACAATAGTCATAGTATAGCTGCTGTGATCAGGACATAATGCTTGTAGGTTTACAGTATCTAAATAGACTATATTTAGACCATCTGCATGCCTCTGATCATAAATGGGATTTCAGGATCAATCTCAGTTTTCATCATGAAATTCCACAGTATTTGCTGTCACTTTCTTTACTCTTTTGCTTAATTAGGTACTGACGGAAACAATGTGGTGAGGAGGAGATTACCATCCCATAGCATTCCAGATGCTATTATTTCAACATTCCAGACCATTGTGAAGGAGCATGGTGGTGGCATTATGCTTGATAGACTAATTCCAGAATATGAGGTGAAGTAATAATGCTTGTGTGTGTATTTATTATGTATATAATTTTTCATATAAAAATTATTATGTTTACTCATTTAATTCTAATTTATTACAGTACAGTAATTTATAACAGGGTGTAAGCTTGTATTAAAGATTATCTTTGCACTTTAGACAGACTCTGATGTATGAAAGTGATTTGTTCCCAAAAAATATTTTTTATATACATTACTGTATTGATTTTTCAGAAATGGATACACGAAATCCCAATTCCGTTTCTTAAAAAATCAAACCAGGCTCAACCACTGATGAGTTATTGCATCATCCTAAATTCCTGCTGCTTTATTTACATGATGTGAATGCCATCTCAACCATCAAGTGACACTCCACTCATCCTTTCTCATGTATTACTTACTTTTTTACTTTTATCCTCTTCGCCACTGAGCGGTTGGTTAGCTGCTTCGGCGGTCGGCCACATGTCTGTTACTTACTGTTGGCAAGTACTGGGCATGCACTAGCTCTTGAATGTATCAGAACCTGCTCCAATATTGGACAAGTCTGGTTTTGAAAGAGCTCACACTCAGTGCTGTCACAACACTCTGGCAGGTTGTTCCAAGAGTTCACAATTCTCACTCTGAAAAAGTTTGCCCACACAGTTTTCTGGACTTGTGACTTCTTCAACCTTGACCTGTGACCCCTTGTGGGGCAGGCTTCTGCTAGCTCCAGGTATGGACACTCGACTGAGTAGTGCTCTTTGAGATGTTTTTACACCTCAATTAGGTCACCCCTTGCCTGTCTGTAGTATACGCTAGGCAGTTGCAGGCACCATAATTTCTCTGGCTAACTGAGGTGCCAGAGTGCAAGCACCAGTCTGCTGACCCTCCTTTGGACATTTTCAATCAACTGCGTCCCTACCATTGTGAGGAGTACTGTCACCCCGACAGTATTCCTCACAATGGTCCAAAAACTTAATTTAATTTTCAACACACACACACAGGTCATTTTCACAGTCAATCTCTTATTAATACAGTGTCTTCGTTCTGTTGGAACATATGATAAGCTTCCTTACCGTTGATATGACCCAGGTGCAGCCTCTTACACTTCATGACATTGAATCTTAGCAGCCATTTCTTCGACCACTCATGAGGCTCACAGAGGTCTTTCTGCAGCTCTTCACAGTCCGTTTGGTTCTTAATGTCCCTGAATAACTTGGCATCGTCTGCAAACAAACATTTATAAGGAGTGAATAGCTTCCGACATGTCATTTATGAAACACACAACAAGAATGGGCCCAATACACTGCACTGTGGTACCCCGCTTGTCACTGGTACACATGATGATTTTGTACCATTAATCACCACACACTGCTTGCGATCATGCAGAAAGTCTCCTGATCCACGCTAGGATACTTCCCCCAAACTCCATATCCTTCCAGTTTAATTCTCAGCCTTTCATGTGGTACACTTTCGAAAGCCTTGGCAAAATCTAGGTATATATTGTCAATATTGCCACTCTGTTCCAGAATTTGGGTCCAAACTTCCAGTACCTTGAGTAATCGTGTTAAGCATGAGTATCCTGACATAAAACCATGTTGGCAATTCTTTACAAGGTTGTTTTGCAGTAGAAGTTCCATCATGACATCTTTTAACATGGTCTCTGGTACTTTACACACTGTTGCTGTCATTCTTGACAACCCCAAACATTTCTTCACTTATAATTTCCACACTTTCTCTTACAACCTTTACTGTACATAATTAGTATATGAAATTTAAAAATACTAAATGATTTGATTTTATATAATTTCCCATATACCTGTATTACAGCTTTAAACAACTAATCAGTTCATCAACCTGGATAATGAAGTCTTCAGCCACCATACTAGATCATGTAATATAATACCCAAGACAAAATCAGTCAGGTAGGGGTTATTCCTGTTGGCCTTAGTGACCACTTTATCACTTGTTGTAGCAGGAAAAAAAGTCATGAGAGAGATAGGACAACACAAGGCAAACAAAATATAATCAGTGAAGAATTACAATATACAGTATGTACTGTATTGCTGCTTGTCACATACCTGTTACAGATGATAATATCTCTGTTGGGATCCTTTGATCCTGTAGAATTACTCTTATGTCATTATCCCAGCCTCTTTGTCAATTTTTGGAGGTGATAGTAACATGGTAATGTGTTGCTGCATTTTTATTCTATGGTGGCTGGAAAGTGAATGAGTGGTAAACAAAGAAAGCTTGAAATGCAGGCCTTCTGTACATGTGCTGACCTAAACTAAAATGTAGTTGTGCGGCTCTTGGCTCACTCTTCTAACTTACATAAAGTGAATACTGTACAGTGTAATATAAAACATATTATACATAGCACTTCCTCCCCTTTTTATGAAATTGAGGGGTTAAATTTTTAATTAAATTAGACAATACTTACCTTAACATGGATACATCTTTGACTTCTACCTTCTACCTTTTATGATAAATATTAAAAATATTCTAACAACCTCTCGGAAGTGCTAATCCCTTGAAATCATTTGCATTTTGATAGTCCAGCTATTTAACATTATTTTGGAGAATAACAGGTCTGCTTACCAATTGTGAACATATTTAGTTTGAATAAATGCTCAGCTACACAAACATTTTCTATGAACCAATCAGCTATTTTTATAGAAGAGGGGTATGGCTTACAGGCTAGGTTAGTGTTGAAAGGGTATAATGTTGTATACCTGCACTGCCTAGGTACAGTCACTTCCAGGTGTGATGTTGCGTCCGACCGTGCCTCCAATGCTCATGTGGCAATACCGCACTACTCTGGGGTGGCTGAGCAAAGGGTGCAATCTTAGCCGCATCGAGAACTTATGGGAAATCATCATTAGATTGTGGAAGACGGGAACACCATAGCCACTCCTCCAATACACAAAGGATTAGTGGGAATGTTTACATAGAAATCGGAAACAAATTCTATATAATGCAGTAACCTCCCTGCCAAACAGACTGCGAGAGGTAATTGCTGAGAATGGTGGGCGGAGAAAGTAATACAGTAATGGTGTAATTGGCTGTTCAGCATCCCCTCACCATCCACCTGAGATTCACAAATGACTCCTTCAGTCCTGTCACTTGTAACCTAATTAGTATTGTGACACTAAATAAAGCATAACATATTAATCATTTTTGTCTTGTGTAATTACAGTACATTTATCAATTTATAACAAATTTATTTTGTTAGTGAGAAAAGGGTTTCAATTATCCCTCTACATCTAAATACAGTACAGTAGTTGAATATATTCAAGTATTAACTGTAAAACCCTAAAATGCTTAGTATATAGAATGGGTAAATTTAATAAAATTGACAAGATATTAGATAACCAATATGAGTTATTACAAATACAGTAATAAAAATCACTGGAAAATAGGATATCCTTCCCCTGCTTCTCTCACTGCTTCTGTCATCCCCATTGCCTCCTCCTTTCTGTTCATTGTCTCTTTCTTCAAGGACTTTTTTCTAAGTGACGTCATATTACAGAATCCAAAATATGTGTTATTTTCATTGAAGATTGTTCTTTTGAATGTTAATATATGTACAGTATACAAATACTGTACTGGTAAAAATAAGTATACTAGGAAACAGCCCTATCAATCAGTTCCCTAGCTGCACGAGTAGTGCCAGGGTGTCAGACGAGCAAGGAGGTACAGTAGAGTGTAACATCACACATGGAGGTGACTATACATTGCAAATTGTATACAGTACCAGTACCTGCATTGTCTATATACATGCTGAACTGCATACCTTCATTTTCTGTATATGTGACTATCCAATTGCAAACTTGTATGATGATTTTACCGAATTATTATTATTATTATTATTATTATTGTTATATGTCGGGACAGTGCCTAGCATCAGTGGATGTTTCATGGTCCTTGCATTCCTTTCTGCATAAATGGGGGCAAAGTGAGAAATCCTTAGCTTCCAGTTAAGGATTAATCTTTTATTTTGAGTGACAATTGTCACATTAATGGATGAATGACCTTCAGATTACTGTACATCTAGTAGGACATGTTTTAAATATGGTTTCTGGAGCAAATCTATAATTCTTTCCTGTTCTTCTGTATTGCTTCATCTTTATACATTTCTTTTTACAGATGAAGACTGGCAAAAAATTGGAAATTTCAAAATTGGGGTGCAATTCCATCCCAGAACTTCTTTCACGCCTATGTGGTAAATTGAAAGTGCTCCAGAGGGAATCAAATCAGCTTCTTCTCTATGATCCTGCCCTATCTAACCCTCCAGAATGCAGAGCTTCTTACAGACAACCAGGTACTACTGTACTCGATATTGAAACAATTAATGGATTTATCAACCAATCTATTTTAGAAGTACAGTACAGTACAGTACAGTATTAGTATCATTTTTTCGATATAACTGTTAGGGATGGAAGATATAATCATCCACTAGACTTTTAAGTCTTTTGAACAGTACAGCTAATTTTTGAATACTGTACAGTATATGATGCAATTCAGGTCTCTGCACCAATATAAACTCGAGAGCAATTTAATTTATTTTCTGACCAACGTCTAGCCAGGTGGCTTTCATAATATGTAGTGACTTGCTATGGGAGCCTTGAGCCATCTGACAGGAATGCTGAGGGTTTCATTAAAGCAGTTGACTGTATAATCAGCACTAACCTTGCCACAGCAGCTACTCCACCCCAACTTTTATTGTTTTGTAATGTTTGTTTTCATATTCTCAGTACTGTACCTCGTATCTTAATTTCTTTTTAATATTACTTGTATTATTAATGTTATTGCTGGGCTGGGCCTCTACTTTACACTTTACATTATTATCTTTTCCACCAATTGGCCCGTTCACCACTTGGACGAGCGGTCATGTGTTTGTTACGCACTTTTGTCAAGTACTGGTTCCAGAATGTATATAATAATAATAATAATACAGTCACCCCTCGTTTAACGAACACCTCGGTTAACGTAATTTCGATTAACGAACTGCCTTCCATAAGGATCTTCAATTCGGTTAACGAAAAAAATTCGGTTAACGAAGTTCTTACGAACCGACCTCAACATGTTTTTGCTTGCACTGACCGGGCAACCAGCTTTAGTATCAGTCCGCCAATACATTAATCGGTTCTAGGGCTTAAATTCCTTAGTATTTTAGTAAATATCAAGAAGTTTATACTATTCAATAATTTTAAAAGTTTAATATTCAATTTTTTAGTCATTTTAACAATTATTGAACATAATTGAAGGTAAAGTGACTAGTTTAATGTGCGGCATCCAGCCTCTTAACACAGCATAACAGGAGTTAGTCTCTCTCTGTTTTCACTGGAGGTAACATCTTGCTTGAGACTCTCTTCAACTAAACGCTTTTTCTGTGTTTCCAAGCAAATTATTGGTCATTTTGAAATATAATTTACATATTGACAATATATAATGCAGTGCAGTGTTGATTTAAAGAAAATAATCTTGAATTACACCAAGAGAGCTAAAATTTTATGGGTGAAATGGCACCATGGGGTGACTTCTCTTCCACCCCAATGCCTTCTCTTCTTCCTTCTCCTCCACCCCCATTCTAAATCCCATCATCATCATCATCATCATCAGGAGCCTTCTACATACACACCTCAAAGTAAGTGAACTTTTCTACCATTTTTGTTGAATTTAGGAAATTTTCGGTGAGCTGGAACCAATTACCCAAAAACCCATTGAAGCAATGGTTTCGGTTAACGAACTTTTCGGTTAACGAACGACCTTCTGGAACGGATTGAGTTCGTTAACGGAGGGGTCACTGTAATAATAATAATAATAATAATAATAATAATAATAATAATAATAATAATAATAATAATTAACGGTTTATTGAAAAAGTTCTGCAGCTCGAAGGCTGAAAATATACATTGGACGTAAATGACTTATTATTTACATTGGTGGTTTAACAAAAGCCTTCATTAGAGAAAGATAAAGGAACATACAGTGAACACACAGATTAATGTAGGTGTTGAACAGCAAACACGTAGTGTAGTAACTCCCTTCCAGATGGTGTTAGAGGGGGCCTCACGTGGTGTAGTAGTTCCCTCACAGATGGTGTTATGAGGAACCTCACGTGGTGTAGTAATTCCCTCACAGATGGTATTATGCGGGACCTGGCGTGGTGTAGTAATTCCCTCACAGATGGTGTTATGAGGGACCTCATGTGGTGTAGTAATTCCCTCACAGATGGTGTTATGAGGGACCTCACGTGGTGTAATAATTCCCTCACAGATGGTGTTATGAGGGACCTCACGTGGTGTAATAATTCCCTCACAGATGGTGTTATGAGGGATCTCACATGGTGTAGTAATTCCCTCACAGATGGTGTTATATGAGTGAGGTGTGGTCCCAGGCCTTCCTATCGTAGACGGATTAACACATCACTGGTTGTTGTTGGATCTCACAGGCGGTTATCACTGGGTACCTGGGACCTCACTGTGTGAAGGTTAACTTGGGTACGACTGTTACTGTTGAGTTGTTCTCACTGACTTAAGCACTGTTTACCACTGTTCATCTCTGTTCAACACTGGTTTCATTCCTCTCCTAAATGAAATTGTACCTTCTGGCGAGAACTTGTTGATATGTATCTGTGCCAGTGTTGGTTAAGTCTGGTCTAGAATGACCTCACACTTGGTGCCCTCACAACACTCTCTGTCAGGCTGTTCCAAGAGTTAACAACTCAATGAAAATTTTTTTTGGAAAATTTTTCTTAAAAGGCCTCAACAGAGGTCAGCTGTACAGTCTGGGTGCTGTACAGTAATATCACCGTTAGCCGGAATCCCTCTTAACCGGAACTCCATTAGCCGGAATCCCTCTTAACCGGAACTCTCCGTTAGCCGAAATTGAAATTTTCCGAGGGGCACATTTTCTTGAAAATTTTGAGAAAATTTTCCCAGTACAATACCCGAAAAATTCCAGAAAATTTTGGGGATGGGGGAATTTTTTTCCAGGTATGAAGAATGGTGTAATGTGCAATTTCTGGAACTTCCGAGAAAATTTTTCTGTTACCTGGAAAATTCTGGGGATGAGGGATTTTTTTTTGGCTTTAAGAGAGTTGTCTCATTATTCAGAAATCCCTCATTCCCGTAAGTGCTCTACACCAATTGTTCCGGCTACCAGGAATATCACTGTACTGTATAGGAAAAGGATTGGGCAGCAAAAGAACATTCCCATACTGCTCTGGGCTCCTCAAAGCGTGAGGGATCATTAACGTACTACTACTCAAAGTCATTTCGGAACTTGTGATGGGAGAATTTAGTAGGTTGGCCAAATAATTAGGATCATCAAATATAAGCACCCTGCAAAATACAGTGTATTTAGCAAATGCTGCAGCTTCTGAGAAGGGGGAGGGGGAGCGGGGTTACTACTAAGAGCAGAGACGTTACCGAGACCAAATTCTGGCTGGAATGTCATGTACACTAATACTGACACGTTCCTTGATAAGAGAGAGGAGTTTGAAACACTACTAAGAGTAAACCAACCAGATATTGTAGGTGTTGTAGAACTGTTGTACAAGAACAGGAGAATCGACCCAGAGGAATGTGAATTCAGTATTGCTGGATATGACTCATTTACGAACCTATCTCAAGAAACTTGCAAGAGGGGTGTGGTTATCTATGCTAGGCAAGACCTTAGAGCCAGCCAGGCGAAGGTACAGGGAGAGGATGTTTTTGAAGAGTCCAAGTGGTATAAAATTAAATTAAAAGGAGGGGACTTACTTACCGTCGGGTGTATCTACAGATCCCCAAACTGTGGCCCACTAAATCAAAGGAACTTAAGAACCTTAATAAACAATGCAGCAATGCTCAACCCCAGCCACCTCCTTATCATGGGGGACTTTAACTATGGCGACATCGACTGGAGAAACGAGTCCACCCCGAATGACTTGAATAACCCTGCTACTCTTTTTGTAGAAACTCTGAGAGATAATTTTCTGTTCCAACATGTTAGAGACCCAACACATTATAGAGGGGAGCAAACACCCAAGCCACTTGACCTCATCATAATAAACGAGGAGGGTATGGTGGCCAAACTTGAACACCTTGCCCCAGTTGGCACCAGTCACCATATAGTGTTGTCATTCAGATTTAACTGTTACCTATCTCAGGATAAGGCCAGGCCAAGGTGCAAATATTACAAGGGAAATTACAATGGGATGAGGGAAGAGATGAGGGGTATCAACTGGCCTGACTCATTAAGGTACAAGAACGCAGACACTACGCTGAATATCGTAACTAGTAAAGTTACCCATTTGATCGATAAATATATACCCAAGACCAAACCCAGTGCTTCTAGGAATACGACGGGACCCCTACATATGAACCATGAGGCGGTCGACAAAATTAAGAAGAAAACCCAGAAATTCAAGATGTGGGTTGGGTCAAACAATGAGCAAGACAGGAGGATGTATGCAAGAGCCAGAAACCAAGCAAAGATAGAGTGTAGAAGGGCTGAAAAGGAATTCCAGAGGCTGGTTGCAAGCGAGGTCAAGTCAAACCCAAAGGCGTTTTACCGCTATGCAAAGTCGAAATTGAAAACGTGAGTAGGAGTATCAGACCTGAGGCTGGTGGATGGTAGTTACGCAGATTCTGACCAGGATAAAGCTGAGGCATTAAACAGCTTCTTTTCTTCAGTGTTCACAAGAGAGGATGCAACTAACCTTCCTGCGTTTGAGGACAGACGGTTCGACACAGCACTGACCCACATTGTGTTCACAGAGGAGGGTATTAGAAATAAACTGTCCAGGCTAAAGGTCAATAAGAGTCCCGGCCCTGACATGTTGCATCCTAGAGTGCTAAGAGAGTTGTGCAAGGAGCTTGCAGAGCCCCTGAAGATCCTGCTTTGGAAATGCCTGGATGAAGTAATGGTCCCCAACGAATGGAAAGTGGCTTATGTGAGTCCTATCTTCAAGAAGGGTGATCGTCACTCCACGAACAACTATAGACCGGTGAGCCTGACCAGCATAATATTTAAAGTACTTGAGAGTATTATCAGAGATGTCGCGATGGAACATCTACTACGAAACAGCCTTGTGAAGGATTGCCAACATGGTTTTATGCCGGGGCGCTCCTGCTTACCACAACTACTCAAGGTATTGGATATTTGGACCCATATTCTGGAACGGGGTGGTAATATCGACAATATTTACCTGGATTTTGCCAAGGCTTTCGACAGTGTACCCCATGAAAGGCTGAAAATCAAATTGGAAGGGTACGGAATTCGGGGAAATGTCCTAGCGTGGATAAAAGACTTTCTACATGACCGCAAGCAGTG